ATAATATAATATCAAATCTATAAATTTTTAACATCCTAATTATGGTATTTGCAAGGGGTGAGTATTTGTGGAGCTGCAAAAATAATTGGCTTTCTTAATTCTCTAAAAATATATTATTTGAAAAAAAAAATAAAGGTGTCTATGGACTAAAAGGAGTCGAGTTTGGTTGAAACCTAAAAATCTTAGGTTTGGTTAACTCTGCATTTTGTTTTTATTTATCATTAAAATATCAAAAATATATTTTACTAATATTTTAATTCTTTTAAATATATTCTAAATAAAATTTAAAAATAAATTATTTTACAATATAATAGCACAATCAATCTGAACTAGACTTTAAAAACTTTAGCAAGTCAAGATCTTTTGCGTAGACTCTGCTTGGTTTCCTTTCCTTTTTACCTGAAAGGAGTGTTGGTGTCTTTCACTATGTTCTCTCATCGATGGTAAATTCTAGGAATTGAAACTCGAATAAATTAATTTATTACTAAAATCACACTTTCTTAAAAGTGGCTGACATGCTTTAGAAAAATTTTGCAATGAGATAAAGTACATGCCATTGTGTGTAAAACGAAGCACAAGACTTTTTATTTTCCACAAATTAAAACGTTATTCACGCTAAAGTAAAACTAATGGTGAAGATATAACTATAAATTATATGAAGTGTCAAGCAAGTTGAAGTTGATTTCTCAATAACTTTCTTTTGGGTTTGGCCAACAACCAACATTGCAGTTGCTTTTAAAAGACCAATAGTTTCTTTTTTTACTTAGTTTTTTTTTTTTTGTATTTTACTTTTTTTACACTCTTTTGAATTCATTTTTTCATGTATAAAAGCCAAAAGTGCAATTTGATATTAAAGTAAGTATGTTGAAAAATTAAAAATTAAATAAAAAAGCATCTTTTAAGTATTATTATTTATCATATTATTCAATTTAAAATTATTTTTTATAAATAATTTTAAATATATATATATATATCTCATGCAAAGCGAAAGCTTCATTCTATTGATATATGAAAGTATAATTTTTTTTTATCCTTTATTAATAGCTTATGTAAAATTTTACTGTTAAATTTATGAAATTTAATATCATATTTGTTGGGATTTGCCTTGAATCTCAGAATCCCACATTGAAAGTTAAGTGAGTTTGATTTTGTCTTGTATCCCACATCGGGAGTTTAGTAAAGGTATAAAGGGTTTTACCCTTATAAATAAGATGTTTTGGTTTTAGTTTGGTAACCCCAGAGAGTTAGACACCAAGAGAATAGCTAAGTGAGTAGGCTATTAAAAGGGTGTAATTGAGTTTTGGGTTAAGTTTTGAGTAAGGAGTTTTAGGAGACTTTTCTCATTCTAAAAGTCTCACAATTGTAAAGATTTATTTGATAGTGAATTAGATTTGGCGTAGGCCATTTTGAGTTGGGCTGAACCAAATATATTTGTGTGTTTTTATTCTTGATTTGAGCTTGTTATTTTGTGTGGTTGCTGCGCGTGGGTGTTGTTTTTTCCCAACAAGTGGTATCAGAGCGAGGTTCCAGGTTTGAGGTTTAAAGTTCGTGGGTCCAAGAGATTGTGAAGCAGTGTTTGAAGATGTCTGAAGAAGGTATGTCTGGTATGTCTATGCCTAAGTTTGAGATTCCGTTATTTGATGGAAAGAGTAATTTTATGTTATGGCAAAGTACGATTCAAGATCTGTTAGTACAACAAGGGTTGGATCAGGCATTAGAGAGTAGTAAGCTTGAGGGGATGTCTGATACTAATTGGAATAGGATTCAGAAGAAAGCTGTTAGTACTATTAGATTGGCGCTAGCTCCAGAGGTAAAATACAGTGTGTTGACTGAGAGTACTCCGAAGAGTTTGTGGGATAAGCTTGAAGGTATTTATGCTTCGAAGTCATTGACTAATAGATTATGTTTGAAGATGGATCTGTATTCTCTGAAGATGGAAGAAGGTATGAGTCTTCATAATCATCTGAATGAGTTTAATAGATTGGTTTCTCAATTGCTAGCGATTTCTGTTGATGAGTTAAAAGATGAAGAGAAGGCTTTAATTTTGCTGTCATCTTTACCCAAGTCTTATAGGCCTTTAGTTCAGACTGTGTTAGTAGGCAGGTCTACTTTGAAGTTGGATGATGTGACTACCCTGTTGCGTGAGAATGAAAGGTTTATGGGAGCTCAGAACTCATCACCTGGGGGGAGTACACTAGCTGTAGAGGGTTTTGATCGAGGGAGGACTCAAAAGAGGATTGATGGATCAAGATGGAGATCTAAGTCAAGAGACAGAGATTACAGTGATGTAGAATGTTATTATTGTGGTGAGAATGAACATATCCAAGTGCGCTGCAGGAAGCTGAGAAGGGATATGGCTGCTTTCAAAAGGGCGAATAATGAGAAGAAATCAGATGAAGAAAAGAGTGATACTGCTGCTGTCTTGTCTGATGATGATGATGTTGTTTTGACAACTTGTGTAGATGAGACCCAGACTTTGAAAAGTGATAAAGGTTGGGTTTTAGATTCAGCTGCTACAGTTCATGTTTGCAATGATAGGAATTGTTTTGTGGAATTGGATGAGAATGAAAAGTATGGAGATATTGTGGTTGCTAACAAAGAAAAGGTGCAGATTCAAGGTATTGGGAGTGTTCGCCTTAGATCTCACAATGGTGTTATTAGGACACTTCGTCATGTAAGGTATGTACCAAATTGTCACTACAATTTGATTGCTTTGGGTGAGTTAGCTTCTCGGGGGTACACATATTATGGTAGTAATGAATGGTTGAAAGTGTATAAGAATGGTAGTGTGATTCTACAAGGGAATAGGGTCAATCACTTGTACATGTTTGATGGAGGCTCAGTTGCTGGAATACCTGTGATGAAAGAAAAGAAAAAAGGTAAGCATGTTAGCTTTGCAGATACTGTTGAAGTGTTTAGAGATTCAAGTCAAGGGAGGATTTGTTGGGATTTGCCTTGAATCTCAGAATCCCACATTGAAAGTTAAGTGAGTTTGATTTTGTCTTGTATCCCACATCGGGAGTTTAGTAAAGGTATAAAGGGTTTTACCCTTATAAATAAGATGTTTTGGTTTTAGTTTGGTAACCCCAGAGAGTTAGACACCAAGAGAATAGCTAAGTGAGTAGGCTATTAAAAGGGTGTAATTGAGTTTTGGGTTAAGTTTTGAGTAAGGAGTTTTAGGAGACTTTTCTCATTCTAAAAGTCTCACAATTGTAAAGATTTATTTGATAGTGAATTAGATTTGGAGTAGGCCATTTTGAGTTGGGCTGAACCAAATATATTTGTGTATTTTTATTCTTGATTTGAGCTTGTTATTTTGTGTGGTTGCTGCGCGTGGGTGTTGTTTTTTCCCAACAATATTATTGATTGTTTGTTACTATTTTATTAATCATTTACAAAGAAATCAGAAAAGAAAATGAAAAACTCGTAGACAAATCACAACATTTTATATTCATACATATACTTTAAGAATCCAAATATATATTTCAATTAAATAACGTGGATATGAAGACAATGTGAATTTAAAAGTTGATGCCAATACGACGATCCTTTCAAACAATGCAATATCTGATGTTATAATTTCATAGATTTAAAAGTAGATATGAAATGCCTTTAAAAAAATAGAAACCAAATGGAACTCGCAATAAAAGTTTCTTCTTTCCAAGAAGAAATAGAATGTAACAGGAAGTCACATGGAAAACGTTGAAAGAATTTTTAACCCAAACTCCACAATTTCATGAAAAAGCCACACTACGGGCTAAAGTATTAATTACAAAATGAAAAAAAAAAAAATCAATAGTGTCATTTACAATCATTATGTAACTAATCATAATTTAAAATTATGTGAGATTTATCAAAATATTATATAAAGCACACACATATAAGTGATGAATCCATATATAATTTTTTAATATAATTAAATAATTATAATATTGTAATAAAAAAATTATAAGTGAAATGTTCCCAAACTAATTTACTTATTTCAATTAAATTTGTTATTAAAATGTTAATAATATTTTATATTAATATTTTAAAATTAAAATTTAATTAAAATATATTATTTATTAATATAATAAAATTCTCAAGTTGAACTCAAGTTTCAAAAATCATATTTAGGACTGGATCCAAGTCTTTTGACCAATAACCTAAAAAGTAGTTGGGTTTAACAAGTACTCCAACTATACAACTAAGAGAACGATTGTGAAATGAATGATTTTTTATCAAGATTGATCATCGATACAAAAAATAATAATAATCAAAACAATTAAATAATAGAAAATTAGTATATTTATAGAAATTTTAAATTAAATCCAACATATATACAATGAGATTTGATCATAAAATCTAATGCTTCCAATCCCTCTTTCTTATTATTGAGACAAAACCTTATATATATATATATATATATCTATATATAGCATGAACAAAGTTTTAATTTGTGGAAAATAAAAGTCTATTGCTTGATTTTTCACGTAAAGGCACGCACTTGTCTCATTGCAAAATTTTTTCTAAATTATGTCAGCCACTTTCAAGAGAGAGTGATTTTAGTGACTAATTTATTCAAGTTTCAATTCCAAGAACAGTAGAATTCACCACCGATAGGAGAAAAAGAAAGAGACTAACACTCCTTTTGGTAAGAAGGAAAGGAAGAGGGAATTTTCTTTTCCTTTCCCTTTTCTTTCTTTCCTACAAAACAGAGTGTAAACGAGGACCTTGACTTGCCAACGTTTCCTTGACTTGATTTCCTTACTGCACTGTCAATATATATTGTTTTTGAATAAAAAATAATAAACCAAATTAAAATATTTAACAAAATATTCTGTAGACAAATTTTAATCAATTTATATTCAAAAGCCATTTTATAGGGATGGCTATTATTGCCAAACTCCTCGATTGTCTATATATATTAAGCTCGATGCAAGGCTTATTATTATATATTTAGAAGTAGCAGTTGAGAGAGAATTGAAAATATAGAGATCATATATAAAGAAAAAGAGATGATGGAACCCAAATGGTTGTGGTTGAGTGTGTTGTTGTTGTTGTTAGAAGGATGCAGATGGTATAGCACTGATGCGTGTTGGGAGGATGAGAGGATTGCTCTCTTGCAACTCAAACCTTTCTTCAACCATTATAATGATCTGAACAGCTGGGTGGAGGAGGTCAAGGGTTCAGATTGCTGCCAATGGGAAAGGGTCGAATGCAACACCTCCTCCTCCTCCTCCAGGCGAGTCATAGGACTCTCTCTTTATCAAACAAGATGGTCCGACGATGAAAGATGGTATCTCAATGCCTCTTTGTTTCTCCCTTTCAAAGAACTGAAGCGTCTTGATTTATCAGGGAATAGAATCGCTGGTTTTGCTGAAAATGAAGGTCCCTTTTGCCCTTTCATTGCTAATTTGCAATATGAAAATTCATTCATAACTTTTTCATTTTTACAATTTCATATTTAATTCTATTATTGTTTTATTGATGAAAAGCCACTAAGTCCTTATTATATATTTAAAAGAACTCTCTTGTAGGTTTTGCGAAGCTAAATTTGAGATCCTTGATTTAAGTGACAATTACTTCAATGATACAATTTTATTATCTTTGAGTCAGCTTTTATCTCTCAAGGATTTATATCTAGCAGGAAACTTGTTCACCTGGATCCAGTCATGCAAACGGTGGAATTAAATTAATCTAATAATGATTATGAATGATAAACAGTAATTAAAATATTAATCTGTCTTCATTATAGGTTTTCAATGGCTTTCAAGACTTAGTAAGTTGGAAACTCTTAATTTAAGGTACAACTCTTCGAAAAATAACATATTGTTTCATATGAATGGTCTTTATCTTTAAGGACTTTAAATTTGAGTGCAAATCACTTGGAAGGAACCATTCATATTCATGGTAAACTTGCTTTACCTTTCTTTTACATTCAAATCAATTGTTGTTTCAGGAAAAGGTGTTGCATAACATTTGCTTTTATACATAATATTAATTGCTCTTTGGTATGGAATACGATTGAATAATTTGATAAATTTGGATAACTTAGATTTAAGCTACAATAAAATTGAAAGCTCCTAACCATCAAAGCAAGGTAAAAATATATATTTCAATTCACTCAACTAAGTTCTTAATTATGTGATCAATGTATAAAATTTCCCATTAACAGTAGCATATAATAGAAATATTCTTCTACAGGAAAGGAGATAAAACTAAGGATGACCAATTTGGAGGTTCTTGATTTAAGTAATAATCTCTTCAAGAACGACACTTTTGCAATCCTTTCTGGCCTTCCAAGTCTAAAGTCCCTGCATATGGGGAACAACCAATTGCAAGGCTCAATAGATATTAAAGGTAAAGCTATTACAACTCCCTTTTTTTTTTTTTTTAATTCTATTTTAGAACCCTTTTGCTCATCAAATAGGTAAAATCTCATATCACATTTGGGGATTTTTCCTCTTCATTTAAAGCTTTAGATTTGTTTTGCCGTTTATTTCATTGTAAAGTCATTAAAAATATTCAGTAAAAGATTATTTGAGTAACCAGGCTAACATAATGATTATTTGAATTGAACTTGGACATAGAATTGAATAATTTAAAGAATTTGAAGGAGTTGTATTTACACTCCAACAAAATTGAAAGCCTTCAATCCTCACAAGGTATGCATTTATATTTGTTCAATTAGTTAAGTTGTTATATATAATTAAATATTATGTAAATCTTTTTTTAGTGATGAAATTATGTAAACCTTATGTAGATAGTGGGAGACAGCTGAACTTAACCCATTTAGAAGAATTTGATTTGAGTGATAATCTCATTAAGGACAGCATATTTGCATCACTTAGCGGGCTTTCAAATTTGAAGTATTTGGATATAAGCTCCAATCAGTTAAATGGATCAATAGATATGAAAGGTAAAATTACTTTTTTTGCAAAAATTTTGAATTTGTTAACAAAAATCTTAATTCATGTTTCAAGATAATATAACAAATAAGTTTATCTGTCTCTTTTCTTTAATGATGAAATTATGTAAATTATTTATAGATACTAGGAGACAGTTAAAATTGACCAATTTCTAAAAGCTTGATTTAAGTCATAATCTAATTAATTATTACTTTTCAACCAAAATTTTAACTCTGTTATAAATACTTTAAAAAAAAAAAAACACATTTCGTGTTTTGAGATGATTTAATGAAATTTATATATTACTTTTTTTTTCAGACTTAGGTGCTTTTACCAACATAGAGGAACTGGTTATGAGCGATAATGATTTGAATGAATTTGTGGCCTGTAAAGGTATGGATTTCAATAAATTTTTTTATTTTTATTTGTGAGGTTTATAATGGTGTAGATGTTTTAATGAACAACAAATTTAGCATATTAAAATTTAATGCTTAATTTTTTAAAGAAAGAAATTAATTATTTATTATATACTTTTTACTACAATATTACAATTCTCTAATTATAATAAAGAATTACATAAGAATCCACCATTTATAAGTGTGACCTCCACATAAAATTTTGTTAGACCTCACACAATTTTGAATTGTGATTACTTAATTGTATTACAATAATTGTAGGTGAAATGCTCTCATTAAACCTAATTTTTTAAAGGAAGAAATACATTATAATTTGATTACTAATTAGAAATGACATATATTTGCATTAGGTAATTGCATTTTTTAAGAAGTGTTGCAGTTGCATACCAAATATTTCCATTTTTATTTGTATTAGCTTGTTGTGTTTTAGAGTTGGACTTGTTTGCTTTTTGCCATTCTGTTTTAGACTACTGCTCATTCTTATTCCCTTTAAAAAAATTTTGCCTTTTCATGTTATAGTTTTGTTTGATTTTCATCTTCTTGATTGTTTTGTATATTAAAATTTATATTAAAAATTGTTACCGTTTCAATATTCTTCTCTATTAAAAATTCATCTCGCATAAATCTTGGATATATAATCTTATCTACAAAAATAAAAATTTACACTTGTTTATTTTTTCCATTTACAGAATATAAGAGTTTGAAAAAGTTAAAAGTTCTTTATCTAAATGGGGTTTTCACCAATGGAAGCATTCCATTACTACTAAAATTAGTAGAGGCATTCCCATCGGTTAAGACCTTCGTTCTACTAGGGAATTACTTAAACAAGACTATGACTACTCAAGATCAAGGTAAGTCATTAATTTATTCCAAAAGGACTAAAAATTAGTAGATGTTTGTTGATTAACATCTAATAATGCCTCCATGCTATGATTACTCAGAATTGCATGTGTGGAGCAATGTGGAGGAAATATTTCTAGACGGTTCTTATCTCAACAACAACATTTTGCAAAGCATTGGAGTATTCACTTCTCTTAAAACTTTGTCTTTATCTGGCTGTGGACTCATGGGTTCCTTGCCTAATCAAGGTAAATTAAAGACTCCATAATTTCTCCAATATAACTTACAGAATACATCTCTTTCTAATAATCCTTTATTCTATTTCTTTTATCTAATATCTCCTATATAATTTGACATGGAAATTAAAATTTAATTAGAATTTCTTCCATGAATTTATAAAATTTTCAGGTTGGTGTGATTTAAAGAACCTTGAAAAGTTGGACATCAAAGAGAATGCATTTGAGGGGATACTTCCTTATTGTTTGGGTAACTTGACATCTCTTCTTGAGTTAGATATCTCCGACAATCAATTTACTGGAAATTTGACTCATTTAGCAAATCTTTCATCACTTAGATCTGTCACCCTTTCAAGAAATCGTTGTCAAATTTCAATGCCATTCCTATCACTTGCAAACCTTCCAAATCTCAAGTTTCTCTTGGCTGATGAAAACAATATAGTAATGGAACCTAATTCCTTTCATACTTCAATTCCAAAGTTTCAACTAAATGTTTTCAGCTTGTCAAAGTGTACAACAGATAAAGGACTTAGCCTACAACCTCCTAAGTTCCTTTATTACCAATATGACTTGAGATATGTTGATCTTTCCTATAACTATTTCAGTGAAACAGTCCCGTTATGGTTGTTAGAAAATAACACAAAATTAGAAAATCTCTTCTTGTTGGGCAATTCTTTCACCGGTCCTCTCTTGTTACCACAACTTCCTAATCCTAAAGTGTCTGTAATTGACATATCTAATAACAAATTGCAAGGCCAAATTCCGACAAATATATGTTCAACTTTTCCAAATTTGGAATGGTTATTGTTATCTAAGAATGCCTTTGAAGGTAATATCCCTCCTTGTTTAAGTAGCATGGACACTTTATCATTTTTAGACCTATCGGACAATCATTTGTCTGGAAGATTACCAGAAGAGTTGATCATGGGAAGTTCATTAGATATTCTTAGGCTATCAAATAACAACCTAAGTGGAAAGATTGTTCCTATGATGTTCAACACAAGCAAGTTGTCAAATTTGTATTTGGATGGCAATAATTTTACCGGAGAGATTCCTGATATTGATGTCTCTGCTTCTGATTTGTCATATTCATCACTAGAGGATATTGATCTCAGTAATAACAGTTTTAATGGAAAGCTCCCAAGATGGATAGGGAATGTACCGCATTTGAAGAGATTGGCTTTGTCCAACAATCATTTCGAAGGTTCTATTCCAATGGAATTGTGCAACTTGTATGAGCTTGAATTTTTGGAGCTTTCTGAAAACAATTTATCTGGCTCTATTCCTTCTTGTTTCAATCCACCATATTTGAGACATGTCCACATGAAGAGAAACAGACTAAGTGGTCCATTGACACTTGTTTTTGATAGCTCTACATTAGTGACATTAGATCTTAGAGGGAATAATTTGACCGGTAATATTCCAAAAAGGATTGGCACATTTTCTACTTTAAGCGTCCTTCTTTTGAAAGATAATCATTTAAACGGTGAAATTCCAGTTCAATTATGCAAGTTGTATTCATTGAGCATCATAGATCTTTCTGGAAATATGTTTTCTGGTCCTATACCTTCTTGTTTGGGCAATTTAACTCTGGCAATGAAAGAGGAGAAGTCTCTCATAGATGATTATTCGTCTATATCAAATCGAATACAGGATCCACTAGTACCAATAGACATTTGGTTTGATTTATCACATATTCGTCCTCATAGCTGCATGGAAGAATGGATAGAGTTTACAACAAAGAGTGTGTCCTACTCATACGGTGGTGACATTCTTAAGTATATGTCTGGAATTGATTTATCTTGTAACAGGTTAACTGGGCAAATCCCAGTGGAACTGGGAAACCTGAGTGAAATCTGTTCGTTAAACTTATCACACAATAACTTAGTCGGAGTTATACCTTCATCATTTTCACAACTTAAGCAAATTGAGAGTTTGGACCTTTCTTACAACAACTTGAGTGGGGGAATCCCTATACAGTTGGTTGAGTTGAACTTTCTAGAGGTTTTCAGTGTGGCACACAATAACTTGTCAGGTAGTACTCCAGAACCAAAAGCTCAGTTTGGGACCTTTGATGAAAGCAGTTACGAGGGAAACCCTCTTCTTTGTGGGCCTCCACTGCAAAATAACTGCTCTAAAACTGACTCACCAACAATAGTACCAACTACAGCAGATGATGAAGGAGAAGGTAGTTTCATGGACACATATGTTTTTTGTGTGAGCTTTCTGGTTTCATATGTGATTGTTTTATTGGTAATTTTTGTTGTTCTATACATAAATCCATATTGGCGACAAGCATGGTTTTCTTTCATTGAGAGTTGCATCACAACTTGTCGCTACTCAGTTGCAGGCAATTTTCTTGAGTTATACATCTTCAAAAGATGTGTTTAGGTGTCATAGGAGATCTTATGATTTGCCCTTAGTTTGATTGTAGTGAAGATTTGGAAAAAGTTTATTTTGTTGTCAAAAGAAATTTGGTGATTTGATCTTTTAAATGAGGGATTTCTTTTAGCTGATTATTCTGTTAAAATGGTTGTAGAAAGAGTTGTGGATTTGGTTACTCAGATTGCTTAGAAAGAGTACTTTGATGATTTTGCACTTTCAACAGAGCTTTTTGTCTCCGTTGGAACTCTGTTTTTGGTATTTGTTTTGTTTGGAAGGAAGCACTGTCTTTTGGAAATTAGTATTACTTTACAAAATGAGCCAATTCAGCATTGATCGATGAAAATGATCGCAAAATGCATTTATTTTTTTATAGGGTTACAAAATATTCCAAAATAAAAATAATAATAATAAGTTGATATATCTCATACGCAAGAAAATCCCATCAAATAAATAAATTAAATGCATAATCTTTCAAAGCAATAATAAATATAGGGTGTTAGCTACTGGGCCAAGGACTTAGTATAGTTTGTTAATTAATTATTTTATGATTGTAATTTGATTATGATGTAATAATTAATTATTTAATTAATTATATGATATAATACTTGATTATTACTATAAAAATTTTTAAAAAATAATTAAAATTTCTGAATTCATGCTTTGCATGGTTAATTTTTATTTACAGTACTACTTTTTTTTATAACTTAAAATTTGTTAAATGTAAAACTTTTACCATTAAATTTAGTGAAAATACATTTATTTATTTATTAACAAAGAATATAATTTAAACTTATTTTATTTTATTCTTTTAAAATAATCAAAAATATTTTCAAAATTTTAATTGGATTTATTTTTAGATAATTTTAAAAATATATTCTTTCACATTGATTTGATAATTTTGATGTGTTTTTTTTACAAAAGTCTTATTTTAATTTTTAATGAAAATAATTTAGTAGTAAAAGAGGAAGATTAAAATGTTTTATGTGATTTGATTTAAAAAAATTTTAATTGGATATTTGAATTATAATTTTTTTAATTAATATGATATGCTATTTATTAATCACATGTCATTATTTAAAACTTATAAGATTAAAAGTAAATATCAAATTAATTAATAAATTTATAATTTAAATTATTAAAAAATTTTAAAATTAAAATATTTAGTTTTTTATATTTAACTTAAAAATCTATTCATATATTGAAAATAAACCCCTAAAAAATGATCAAACTACCCCTCTCTTGGTTTGATAAGAATTTGACATATAACCAAATTGATTATTTTGCCTTCATACCATAATTAAAAAATATCTTTTTCTTTTATAATTATTTACTATAATACTCCATATCATAATTATAGAAAATTCTTCTCTTAAATTAATTATTATACTCTCATACCATAATAAAAAAAATACATATTCTCTTATAATTATTTATTATAATATCCTCGTACCATAATTATAAAAATGTTCTTTTTATTATTAAATTACAAAAATACCAATTCTCTTATTATTGACTCAAATTACTATAATACCTTCCTGACATAATTATAAAAATACATTTCTCATAATTGATCAAAATTACTATAATACTCTTTCACCGTAATTACAAAAATGTTTTTATGAATGCTTAATAGAAAGTTGACATGTGATACTTTGTTTTCAAAATTAATAACATATATTAAAACAATCTTTTTGATAATTAGTATAACAACCCTTTGTTTATTTGATATGATATCGATATGGTATCTAAATTTACTATAATACATTTATATCATTAATTACAAAAATGCTTATCTTTTATAATTAATTAAAATTATTATAATACTCTCTTACAATAATTACAAAAATACCTCTCATAGTATAATTGACTAAAATTACTAAAGTATGGTTCTTAATAAAATTACAAAAATACCCCTACCACAAATGGCAAAAAATTACTATAATGCCTTTCAAATGGAAATGCTTTTATTGAGTACTTCATAGAAGTTAACATGTGTATTTTGTTTCAAAATTACTATAACACATCTATTAAATTATATATTAATTTTTAAACATAACATAAAATTAATCACATATTAAAGTATTAAAATTCATTACAATTGGTTTATAAAAATTTGACATGTGATATTTTATTTAAAAATTACTATAATATCATTATTAAATTACATATGAAATTTTAACATCATATAAAATTAACTACATTCTAAATTACTAAAATACCTTGGCCGTTGCTTAATAAAAATTTGACATGTGAAATTTTGTTTTAAATTCACTATAATAACCCTATTAAATTCTTATTAAATGTTAAATAACATATTAAAATAATTCCCGTAGAAATTGTTATAACACCACTTTGTTTATTTGATGTGATTTTGATATGTATCTAAATTTATTATAATGCTTTTACATTATAATTAAGAAAATACCTTTTTTCTTATAATTAGTCAAAATTATGACAATGCCCTTCTACCATAATTACAGAAATACCAAAATTACTATTATGTCATGCTATTATAATTACAAAAATACTCCTTATTATATTTAATCAAAATTACTATAATACCCCTCATCCACGCCTACTTCACTGGATCCTTTTTCCCATTTAAGGCATCAATCTATTTTGGTATCATTAATTATTTTCTTATCGT